ATGGGCATCGAGGAGGGCATTTGTTGGGATGAGCACTGGGTGTTTTATAAAGTAAGAGATAAATCACGGGAATCTACTCCTGAAGCTAAGAGCACACCGTACACACTAGGTGTTAGCTAACCTGACAATAAATTATATAATAAATAAACAAACAAATAAATAAAATTAAAAAACAAAAACAAAAACAAAAACAAAAACAAAAAACACAGCACAGTGCCTGGCCCCTAACAAGTACCCCCTTCTATTACTGAATAAAGTTCTACCTCTTAACCTTCTATTCAACTGGTCAACTTGTCTATCCAGCCGCCTTCTCCTTTACCTTCTATACTCCAGCGACACGGAACTGGATTCTGTTGCCAGGATCACTGTGGCCCAACCCTTCAACCCCTAACTGAAATCCTACGCATCTTTCAGAATCCAGACCATGTGGCATCTCTATCAGAAGAAGCCTTCCCAGAGCCTCAGTGAAAGCGCCTCTCCTTCCACGAACTGACATAGCCTTCAAATATACCCCTTTTATGGTATTTAACACCCTGCATTACGTTACAGCGCATGTCTGCACAGGTTCTAATTCTGTCTTCTACACTGCCAGCATAGGAACTGGCAGTAGTTTTGAACGTAGAGACCTCCAACTCCCTTTTGTGATTTTGCATATGCTCTGCTGACTCCATAACCGTAAGGAAAATAGATCCGTGTGAACTCCAGAAGATACAAAGAATGGGGGAGAAAAGAATCAAACATTGTGGAAACTGAAGAACTGAATATGTATTTCATACCGGTATTCTGCTCCCCACCCTTTCACAAAACTCATTCTTATGGTGCACATTCTAGTTAGTTGATACACGGCTTCAAAACCCTGATTGACAGACTGAGCCAGAAGAGCAGCAAATTCCTGGTTGTTGAAGATCTTCAGATTACAGCCTACGATTGAAAAAAGTAAAAAAAAAAAAAGAAAAAAAGAGAAAAATTGTGTGAAAAGAATATCATGATCAAGAAAATAATTTTAAAGGGGCTACAGATCTTAAAATGCAAGGATGCCAATCATCTCCTGATTCCTAAAATAGCAACTAGAGAAGCTCAGCGCGCTGACACAACAGGTCTGCTGACACAGATGCATCCATACCTGGTGGGATTTTACACACTGTTGCCGGGTGCCAGCCGTATCTCTGATTACAGTTGGGGCTCTGCACAAAGATTGCACTATCGCTTAGGCACTCTGCAAAAACTTCTCCACCTATGTAATATAAGCGTACTCCTCTTCCTAAAACAAAATACATATGGGATTAGTTTCATAACATCTCCTGTTTCAGTATGACTTTGGGAGAGTCTTCTTGGAGGAGGATTAAAATGATAGAAGGTATTTTGATAACCTTTTCCATAGCAATGCTTTTCTGAGGTCTAACATTGAAACATACCACTCTGTATTTTTCCAAGGATTTTTTAACAATGATTTTATTGATTTGAAAAAATACACGCTTGTCAAAAGTACGTAAACGATGTAAAAAAGTACATGTAAAGAATTCCATACAAATTATATATTATTTTAAAACACGTAAAATAAATGGAGTTAAGTCTAAAGGAATTAAGTGTTTGGATAAATACACCTTCGTTATAATAGACAGTATTTCCTTAAAGATGCCACTAAGGTTAAGAAAAAAGTGAATAAAATCATCAAGAAGTTAGTGTCATTTGCCATTTTTACAATTATATTAAGGTGACCACCAAATCCCTAGGTAGATAAGCAGAACTAGGGGAGAAAAAATTATGCTGGAAGATTTTAATATACTTTTTTCAGAATCGGACAAATACACACAAAATATTAGAGATAGAAGGATTTAAAAAACCAACTGTGAAAGGTAGAGATCTCAGACAGCACCTAAGGTTCTCACTCCTGGTGTGCAGACATCTTTTCTATTATTCAGTCAAACACGAATCTAGGTGCTGCCGTTAAGGAATTTTTCGGATGTAATTAAGGTCTCAAATCTGCTGACCTCAAGAAAGGGAGGTCCTCTTTTGGCGGGCCTGACTTAATCAGGTGCTAGCCCTTAAAAAGGACGGGGCTGTCCCTGGTGAAAGTGATTCAAAGTGTGAGCGAGAGGGTTCAACACCAGAGATTCTCGGCTGCTGACCGTGAAGACAGAGGGCCCGCGAGGCAAGGAATGGAGGGGACACCCACTTGTTGAGAACAGCTTCTAGCTGTCAGTCTGCAGGAAATGAAGACCTCGCCGCTGTAACTTGAAGGAAGTGAACCCTGTGACAATCATGTGAGCTTGGAAGAGGCCCTCCAAGCTCCAGAGGAGGACACGACAAAGTCAATGCCATGATTTCCCCTCGTAAGATCCTGAGGAGACTCCTAACCCATGCCTGGACTCCTGACCTGCAGACACTGTGAGATCATAAATCCGTGTTGTTTCAGTCTGGCAAGCGTGTGGTAACATGTTACACAGCAAATGAAAACTAAGAAAACATTTAATACATAAACACAGAACCTGATGCCCTGCTCTTGTGACCACAGAATATTTGTAAAACAACCAAACATACACTTGACCATCAGGAAAAGATTAAATCCAAAAAGCAGAGATTTTCCAAGCTATAGTCTCTCATCAAAACCACCCAATAAGTTAGAAATTGAAAGTAAAAGATCCAATAATTACGGCAACCTAAAATTATGTAGAGAAGTAAATACGGTAGAGGGAACCTGTTGAATTTTTATGCAGAACCCCAATTAAAACACAGGCAAAACCAGAATTATTTTAGTTAACGTAGGGTGGGTACTCAGAAGCCTTCCTTACCCACAAGACACCTAAGATTACACAAAATTTATACATCAAGCAAGATTTGAGAAATTCCACACAAAGCAACATTAACAGACCTCTTTAAGTTACAGCACGTTTGCGGAATGATACTCGCTCTTTAGTGACCAGCATTATTTCTCACAAGAGGTCAGAGTTAATTCATTAGAAACTGAAGCAAACTATTGTTAAAAGAGGTTACTTTAAGGAAATGAGAACTATGTTCAGTTATATTAGTCAAACTTTTTCTACCTCATTGCCAAAAAAAATACTGGAGACTCAAAGAGTTGCTGTTTATGTGGACTGCATCTATGGAAACTTAGCACATTAGATATTAAAACTGAGATTCAAAAAAAATTTATAATTCATTTAAAGTTCTAAATAATGCATCTATTAAATACTAATATAAATAACATGTTTATGAAAAATAACTATTTCCCCTCCCCCCCCCCAAATTAGTGAGAACAGCAATGTTTTACATTTTTGCAAATCTCTCTAATGTCTGGCTTAAGAGAAGAAAGTTGGATTCTTATCAGATTCTACATGTAATCTCTTGCAAAATCACATGCCTTGTAGCTTCTGGAATATTTCACTGTACATTCATGAGTGAATGAGAGCGAAAAAAAGGCAAATAGCATCTTAGTACCATTATGAAAGAAGTTTTGACCTCACGAACTTGCTGAAAGGGTGTCTGGGACTACCACATTTTGAGAGTCTCTGAACTATTTTTTGACCTACGTACTAAATAGTAGTTCTTATTTATAATATCCTGCTTCGGGGGCACCTGGGTGGCTCAGTCGGTGGAGCGTCCAACTTCAGCTCAGGTCATGATTTCAAGGTTCATGGGTTCGAGCCCCGCACCGGGCTCTGTGCCGACAGCTCAGAGCCTGGAACCTGCTTTGGTTTCTGTGTCTCCCTCTCTCTCTTCCCTCCCCCACCCCCACTCGCACTCTGTCTCTCTTTCAAAAATAAACACTAAAAAATTTTTTTAATAATAAAGTATCTTGCTTTCGATTAAGGGTGAGCAGATTTAATTATTTAGTATATTAATTCCCTGAAGGGGGAAATACTAGGGGACTGGAAAAAAGTCATGGTTTGTTAAAATTGTAATTCGAAAATCCGAACAGGACACTTTTATGGCTGGCGGAGGTGCAGCAAAGTAATTTTAACATGCATTTATCGAAGGACTTCCCGGAACCAAGGGTGCCAAATAAAGAGAAGCCGAAGGTCAGAGTCTGCAGATCTATTAAAGCAGTGGATCTATGAAAGCAGCGAAGCTGTGCACTCACACTGACAAGAGACAAGGCAGGCGTTTCTGCACACAATCTTCTGATGTGGCAAACTGCACGATGCTCACATTATGAGTACACGGCACTGGTTCTTGACATAAGGTAAAAACACATACCTATATGTCTTCTTGTCATTTCTACGGTGGCATTTCGGTTGACGTTGGAGAGCAACCCTAGGCAGAACCTCTCTGAATTGGATGGATCTGTGAAACCGTCTACAGTGAGTGAGGGCTGTGATGCGTGGAAGGTCTCTCCAACCCTCTGGTTTAATTCATAATATGCTATTGAACACCAAAATGCAGGTTCTGAGTAAGTAACTGGCTGCAAATCTGGGGAAAAAAACCAAACCCATAAAAGCAAGAAATGTTGTGTGAACAGTTCAAGCCAAGAAAAGATTGAATATCATCAGATATCTGTACGTGCTCTATGCCAGCCTAAACTGGCTGCAGCTCAGGAAGCAGACTTAACATCTACACCACAGACTCCAGTCTCCATTAGATCATACCAGATTTTCAATGTTTCAAATTTCCCCCATCTCATTCGGTCATCTAATCTTCAAACATCTTTTTTAGACTTTCTGGGGGGGGTCATGTTCTACTAGTAGTTTTATCCTAGTTCCTGTTCAAATATAAAACCATCACGGGTAAAGTAAATCAACTTACATAATAAAACTAATTTTTCGTAGGATACAGTGGAATAAAGCTGGAGCAAGGACTGAGTCAAACGCCACAAGAAGAAAAATTCTATCGTAATCATAGAACACAAAATACGACGTATTTCTGACATTGTCTATTTTAACATGAGATTCTCGGTGAGTTACCCTAGTTACACAAATAGAAAACCCATGCATATACAAGAAACAGAAAGTAATAAAACACAAAAGGCATGTAAGTAGAAACAGAATATGGAATCAAAAGAATCTACATATTTCATGGACCACATGAATTTAACTTCTGTAATTTTGATTAAAAGACCCAAGGAGTATCATGAACATTTTGTAGAATAAACTCCTCATGTGTAGAAACTGCAGAGAAATCGGGAAATACGGAGGTAAAATGAAGGCCAAGGATAAACTACACAATGTACACACACACGCAATCTTCCATACCCCATGCATATTTGTGACTGTGTGTCTGTGTATATATACAGACACACACCTTTTTATATTAGTAATTGCTATTACAAAATATCATAAAATAAACATACCCATATAAATCTAGCCATAATACATCATAAAACTTTCCATAAAGAATATGATTTCCATGGATAGAAAGATTTATTCGGTTTGATACTGTTTTAATAGTTTTAATAGTATTGATGTTTTAATAGTATTGAGTTTTAATAGTATTAAGGCAAATTATCATTTTTAAAAAGCACTAATTTGAACAATCATTTGATTATTCGTTGAGATCTGTTTCTCATGTATATGAAAAATAATTTTCAGAGAAGACATTTGATTAATGGATATATTATAAAATGTGTGTGTGGGGGGGGGGGGGGAGTGTGGGGGAGAGGAAGTATTTGCCACTTACCCAAACTATGATTAACAGGGGAAAGAGTAGTAGGAGACAGTTCTGCTGGAGATCCTGAAACAAAAGGAGTCAATTTTGTAACAGATCTGCAAGTACTTCCAGAACTTCTGACCAAATAATTGTAACACTGGTTGCATCTGGTTGTAACTATCACAGATAATACAGATAGTTTACATCCTAACAATTCAAAATAGGCAACTGCGATATGTGAATTTAATTTTGGAGGCTTCAATATATAAAAGGTACGAGCGTATGAGCAGCCCTAGCTTCTAGCCGCCCAGTTCTCCTTCCCAAAGGCATCCAGTGTTGCCAGTTCTTTGTGCACCTTTCCAGAAACAGTCTATGAGCCACACAAGCAAATATATACTGTTTTGTGCCCTTCCGCCCTGATTTTTATACACAAATGGTAACCATTCTGAACTTTGCTTTTTCACTACCGAACTTTATCAAGGATGTTGATGTTTATTTATCGCTCTCCCTTCCTCCTTCTCTCTCAACATAAGCTGCATAATCTTACATTATGGTGTATTATGATCCCATATTGATGGATACTCAGACTATTTTCCATCTTCTGATTTATGAACCAAGATTGCAATGACTAATCTTGTACGTCTTGCATACTTCCAATCATATCATTCTCTTAAGAGAAACCGCCAGGTCAAAGGGTTATACATCCACAATTTTGATAGATTTTGCCAAAACTGTCATCTATAGAGGTGGTACCAGTTTACACTCCCGGTGGCAACATAAATGGTGAGAGGAGGATGCTGATGTGTTATCACTGACAGGTGAAAACATGGTTTTAACAGGTAGAGTTCTAATTTGTATTTCTCTTATAAGTGACATGGAACAGCTTTATTAAACTTTCTTATATTGCATTTCCTTTCTGTGAACAGTCTCTTCTTTTGCTCATGTTTCTACAGTGGTGTTGATCACCCTCACTGATTTATACAAGGGTCTTTATGTACTAGGGATATTAGTCCTTTTATGATATGGGTTGTAAATATTTGTTCATCTGTCTTAAGACTGACTCTTCCTAATTTTGATTAAGCAGAATTTTTAAAAACGATCATGTGTTTTAATTCGTGAATCATTTTGGGATATGTCACACTTCGATAAAACAGTTGTGACAGTTGGATATTCCTGACTTACTCTCAACCTTCAGGGGATACTTCTAATATTTTCCCATTAAGTAGGACGCTGATTTGGGGATGAGAGATAAAATTCCTTATTTAGCATTTTTGCATCAATAATCCCAAACAATACTGGTCTGTGGATTTACATTCTAACTGCAATGTTATACTGCCTCATGGAGACAATCTAGAAGCTTTATGTCTTTTTTAAGCTCTGTAACAGTTTACACAGCATTGTAATAAAGCATTTTTAATAGTTTGATAGAATGCCTGTGTAAAATTGTCTGTAGCTAACAATTTTCTAGGGTTTACCCTAAGACATTTCTCTTTTCCTTCCATGAAAGTTCACTGTTAAGATAGCTCTATTTTCTCAAGTCAGTTTTGGTAAATTACATTTTCTTAGAAAATTATCCATTTCTTCCTGTTTTAGGCAAACAGGTTAAACCTAATCAAGACAATAAGGAGAGGGGGCACAGATACATAAAATACACAAACACAGAAGAAAAAAACCAGAATCTTTCAGAGACTGCTTCACCCAATTCCATGCAATTACATTTTAAAGCGTATTTGTCGTGAACGCTGTTAAGCAATCTTATAATTACAGAATACGTTGTGTTTTCTGGTCATCTTCTCTTCACGTTTGGGGAAAGTTATGCTAAAAAGCACGACCCACAGCCCCCACACTTCAAACAACACAGCAACAGTGCAGATGCAGAATAAGACAGGTGAGACCCCAGCCTCACGCGGGTCTCCCCTCCCCCACGCCATCATAACCAGGACAAAATACCAGGCGGCAACAGGTGAGATGGCAACCCCCAAAGAAACCGATGAACCAAAAATAGAGAACAGGTGACAATTATTTTTCTGAAGACAGAACCGTCTTCCCAAACAAAAAATTAAGTTCTTGAGTTCTTTTTTTGTTCTTCAGTTTGAAAAATCTGCTGGCAAGTCACAACAGGTCCAACTAAGAAAGGTCAAAATATATTTAGAACAATGAACTAAAACTCACCGTTTCCTGAAGCTGGTATAAAATAAACAAAGCTACCATGAGAAATGGAAGAAACTGCCCAAGTATTCTTATCTTTCAGCTATTGATTCCTCTATTAAGTATTTGTCACTTATCAAAAGCGACCAGATCTAGAAAGAATGGCTCACTGTGATCACTCGTAAAATGTGTAAATGTTAACATAAGCTAACGATTTATTAGAAACTTTTTTTAAAGATGCAGATTAATGGATAATTAACCAATTAGCTACTCATATATTCACACTGCCACTAAAGTCTGCGACTTCCAGTAATGAGAGAAAGTATCTTCAGTATTCAGGCAGTGGTTTCTAGTAGTACTGGAAGCCGAAGCATCTAGAGGAATACTTGTGTATCTTTGCGTACAAGTTTGCCTGTAGTTGTAGGATACATTTTTCAATGAGGAAATTTGAGATCAAAAAGAACGCGTATTACATTTTTACAGGTGCCAAAGTACCTCCCCAAATGATTGGTCCCACAAGTTACGAGCTAGCGTATCTTCATTCTGCGCCTCTACCTTCTGACGCCTGCCTATTTGATAGGGTTAAAGAGGCTACTCTATTTTCTTTTCATTTTCATTTTTGTTAGAAATAGCACGTTCGTGTACTTTTGTCCATTTTCTTATTACCTACCATCTTTTTCTTCTTGATTTATAAGTGGTTTTAAATTTCAAAATCAGGGGCACCTGGGTGGCTCAGTCGGCTTAAGCATCCGACTCTTGATTTGGGTTCAGATCATAATTTCCCAATTTGTGCCATCAAGCCCTGCGTCGGGCTCTGCACAGAGAGGAGCCTGCTTGGGATTCTCTCTCTCCCTCTCTCTCTGTACTCCCCCAGCCCCCACGTGCGTGCACTCTAAGTAAATAAACTTTAGAAAAAATAAATGAATTTTGAAGTCAGTTATTAAGACTGGTCATTCATTTGCAACTATTTCCCCACATTTCTGGTTTCTTTTGACATAGCTTGCAAGGTAACATTAATTCTTTAAATCAGACATTACTTTTTTAGAGCAGTAGGTTCACAGCAAAAGTGAGTACAATGAAGTACAAAGAACTCCCATACACCCATGTACACACACACGGACAAACTCCTCTGCCACGAGCACCTCGCACAATGGCTCATTCGTTGCCATCAAAGAAACGACGCCCACACACCGTTATCACCCAGAGCCTACAGTTTACACTCGGGTTTCATTGTTGGAGTTGTACATCCTATGGGTTTTAACAAGAATATAACATATATTCACCATGTAATAATCTAAAAAATAAAAATCCCCTGTGCTCTGTCTATTCGTCTCTTCTTCCCCACGAGCCCCTTAGATATCACATATCTTTTTCTTGTCTCTACAATTCTCCCTTTTCCAGAACGTCATGGAGTTGCGATCATAAAGTATGTAGCCTTTACACTTTGGATTCTTTCACTTGCATTGCGAATTTAAGGTTCCTCTACATCTTTTCATGACTTGGTAGCCCATTACTTTTTAGCGCTGTGTAATACTCCTTTCTCTGGATGTACCACAGTCTGTTTATCCATTCACCTACTGAAGAACCTCTTAGTTATTTCCAAGTTCTGGCAATTGTGAATAAAGCTGCTATACACATCCATATGCATGTTTCTGTGTGTCCATACATTTTGAACTCTTTTGGGAAACACCATGGAGCGGGACTGCTGGATCATAAGGTAAGAGTATGTTTAGCTTTGTAAGAAGCTGCCACAGTGTGTCTTCCAAAGGGGTTGTCCCATTTTGCATTCCCACCAGCCGTGCATGAGAGTTCCTGGTGCTCCACACTGTCACCAGCGTTTGGCGTCACCAGTGTCTGGATTCTGGCCATTCTCATAGGTGTGTGGTAGTAACATTTTAAATTTTATTTATTTAAACTTGTCGATATTGTCTCTGATGGTTTTAAACCTTGTGTATTTCTCGTTCAGATTACTTAGGAAATTCCTCAGTGTCATGTACTAAAACTTAGAGGGTTTCATCTTTAACATTTAAGTGTTTGCTCCAAATGGAATTCATTTGGTATGAGATGAATTACATGTTCAAGGTTATCTTGCAATTTCTTTTGAGGAGTATTAGTTTGGATTTCTTTAGCAAAATTAATGGCTGAAGATATATTAGTAAGTTCAAGTGTATTAGTCAACCATAAATGAACAGATCTCAAATGAAAACAACAAAAATAGAATTAATCTTTCAAAAGGCATATACAAAAGGACAGTTAAAGGTCTTAAGGCCATTTCACCTGAATGTATTTGCTTTTATATTACAGTGAAAACCCTGAAGAGCTAAAATTATCTACTCTTCTGTTTTTATACCACACCTGCTGAAAAGCAAGCTTTAAAAGGACCTAATTTACTGAATACAGACCAATCACTTTCACAAACCTTTCAGGAAACTGGGAATCATGTCGGGGTAACTCCTTCAACCTTAGCTCTACACCACATTACCAAGCAAGTCGTACCTCAGCCATTAATCTCATTTCTCCCTATGTCATGAAACCAGCCCAGAGAAGTCTAGTGCAGCAGTCAAGAATGAGGTGTCTAGAATCTGACATCCTAGGTGCGTATTTCTCTCACTTTTTAGCTCTTTTTCTATGACGTTCACTGCAATGTTGTTTTATTTTTATTCTTTGTAAACACTGAACCTTTTAAAATTAAGAGAATAATTATTGCTGGATGATGTAAATTACATGGAATGTCTGTATTTTCTTTTTTTAACCTATCTTTAATTTTTTATAATGAACACCCACTTGCAGAATTCAAAATGTTGCAGCATAAGTTCATCTGTAAAATATTCTCCTGTATTTGACACAAAATGGTAGAGACACTAGATAAGGCAAAAAAAGAAAAAAGACCCTTGTAATATGTCAATTCCAGCTCAAAAATGTGCTTCTTTATTATGTTATATGCATTTTCAAGTTTTCAATGAGAATGAATTCTGTTTATGATGAGAATAAAGGTGCTTTTCTTTTGTTTTATTAATAACTTCTACAGGGTTTCCCTTATAATTAGAATGTAGAAGATGGAGAAAAACCCTGGATCCTAAATTAACCAGGAGAAAATACTGGAAACACACAAAAAATTATATTTTTCTTTAGAGCTACCAAAAAGCTGGAGATCTATTTATGAAGCCTAAGTGAACTAGTTTACAGAGGCGGATGAAGTCTTCCTATGTAAGCAGAGAGTAGGAACCATTTTCATCACTGAGAGCATCCGCCAAGTCGGGACACACACACACACACACAGGACTGGGCTTGCCAAAGGAAAAACCCAGTAACATTTTAATGGCCACGCACAGGCAAATGGAATCTGAAAGACCAAGCACGGATGCAGTCCTCTTCGCCAGTCAGTGTTAACCCACAGGTCTTTAGCTGAGGACAGGGTAGCAGGGGGAGTTGTGGGCGGGGCTGGAAAGCAGTGAGAGGTCCTGCAGTCTTGCCACACTCCTATCTGAAAACCTGCCGAGGGAGGAGGCTGCCCCTACTTTCAAGCCTGTGGTGATCTGATTTGATTAAAACATTAAATCATCATGCATCCAACTCAACTCCTAATCATGTGGAAGAGATCAGCTCCTCAACTTAGCAACCAGAGAGAGAAAAGGGGAATGCTTTCCAAGGGAGAATGTGATCTACGGGACTCTCTAGTATTATTTCAGCATCCAATTAAAAGAACACATGAGACATACAAGATAGCAGGAAAGACTGACCCTTAATGAAAAGATAAAAAACAACAGAAGCAGACCTACATGTGAAGCAGATACTGGAATTACCAGATCAAGACTTTAAACTGGAAACTGTAAAACTGAAAAATAGATGATCTGAAATGAATTCACTGAATTGGCTTAACAGCAGACCAAAAGTTAGACCCTCTTATACACCACTTGACTCCCAACAAAGGTGCCAAGGTGAATCAATAGGAGAAAGAAATGTCTCTTCAACAAATGGCACCAGAATGACTGGACAAGTGTCCAGGGAAATGGAAGGGTGGGCAGAGATGGTAAATATGTAGGTAAACACAAAAAGTTACTTTTTAACCCTTTAAAGAAACCACCATCTCAAAGTCTAAAGCAAAAATAACACCCTTCGGGGATTATACACAAGTGTAAGTAAAATAAAGGACGACAGAAGCACAAATAACAGAGGTAGGTGAATGGAATTAGTGTTGTAAAATGCTTACCCTGCACAGGAAGCTGTAAAATATTACAACTTAACAATCTAAGGAGAAGGTGACCAAACTGGCACTGTAATCACTAGAACACTGAGAGAATACTACTAAGTGCTACTGTTAACAAGTCAAGAGAGTGAATAGAATGGATTCAAACATAAATATACTTGATGAATTTGAAAGAAGGCAGGCAAGTTATAAACAGAGGAACAAAAAACAGATGGGACAAATTGAAAAGAAACAGCAAACTGGTAACCCAAACCCAATGACAGTACTAATTACATGAAATAAAAAGAGAGTAAATATTCCAATTAAAAGACGAAGACTGACAGAGTAGGACATACAATGCTGTCCACAAGGGACACATTTTAAACACAACGATACAAACAAACTCAAAGGATGAAAAATCTACCATACAACCAATGAAATAAATAAGAAATGGTGATGTTAACAGGAGACACATTTTATAATGAGGGTGAAATTCATCAGAAGGACATAATTTTAAATGTGCACCTGTCAATGACTGAGATTCAAAATACATGAAGCAAAAACTGACAGGCCTACGGGAAGAGAAGGGCAAATCCAATATCTGAGTTGGAGACATTAACGCTCCTCTCCATTACTGACAGTACAAGTAGAGAAAAATGAGAGGGGATTAGGAAGATCTAAACACCACCACTGAGCATGCCCGAAATGACGCAGAGAACATCACATGTGCAGAACAGACCTTCTTTTCAATTATACATGAAACTCTTATCTCTACAAATAAGCCACGCTGTGGCATAAAACAATTTTAGTAAATTTCCAAAGACTGAAATCGTGCATGTTCTTTTGGGCCGTAATAGAATTAAGTTAGAAATCTAGGAAGTATCTAGAAAACTCCCACAATTCTAAAAAACCAGAGTTTAAAGAGAGTTCAATTTTGCTCTAAATTGGGGTCATGCGTCAGTCAGAACTCACTACAGTGCAGAGAGAGGAGTAGATAGCGGGTAGAAGCCTGGTGGTTGAACCAACTTTTAACACCTCATGAATCAAGTATGTACACTGTCATTACGAGAAATAACTTACATGTATCATTTGCAAAAAGTACCATCTCCCCACTGTAACGGAATTAGAAATATTAGCCTCGGTTCAAAGCAAGACCCTGAAACACTGAATCCGTTGTAATTGATTTCACTTCTCTCCTTCTCAAACTGGACCTTTATCATAACCAATGATTATCTGCACCTCATCGCTCCTCCCCTGTGTCAGCCCTATGATCAAATAGGGACTCATGCACTCACTGGAATCCTTGTGACCTTCTGTGTCTGGCTTCTTTCACTTAATATAACGCTTCCAAGGTTCATCTTCGTTGTATCATGGATCAGTACATCATTCTTTTATACGGTTGAATAATATTTCACCATACAGACACACCTCATTTAATTTATCCATTCATCATTTGATGGACAATTGGGCGGCCTCCACTTTTGCACTACTATGCGTAATACCTAAGTGAACATTTGTGCGCAAGTTTAGTGTGGATGTGTTTTCAATTTTCTTGGGTATATACCTAGGAGTGAAATTGCTGGGTCATATTGTTATTCTACATTTAACTTTTTAAAGAACAACAAACTTTTCCAAAGCAACCAAACCACTTTACATTCCCACCAGCAACAAATGAAGACTCCCGACTTGTCCGAATCCTCACCAACACTTGTTATCGTCTCTTTCTGATTTAGCCAATGTAATGGTGTGAAGTGGGATGGTACCGTGCTGTTGATTTGCATGTCCCTGATGACTAATGATGTTGAGCATCTTTTCCTGGCATTCACTTTTCAATGTCACAGTGGCAGTTGTCCATCATGGGGCAAAAAGGAACACGACCGGTTCAAGAATACAGATCTTTGGCATACAGGCGTGACAGGAAGATGTATTTGGAAAGCCAAATAACGTGTGCAGTAAGACAGTGTGCATTAAGATGCACTGTTATTTCCAGTGGTAATTAGATTATCTACATTTCTTGGTTATCTACTACTCTGAACAGTTACAAGTATGATCTGCTACAGGAGAAGCTTCTTCATCTGGGAGTCTAAATAATGGAAAGATGTGAACAACAGAATCATTGTGAAAGCCAGTCCCCAGCCCCCCACTCCCGTCAATGCTAATTCATGTAAAAATAACTTAGATTATCATAACTACAGAATGCTTTAGTATAAACTGTGTAGAAAAACTGATGGTGTAATTTGACAGGCTGTGATACTAAAGTATCCAATCCTTAAGACTGCAGACAGGGAGAAACAGAGGAAATCAGACAATTACCATCTCACCACAACTACCTCACTGGCAACCTAATTAGTTCTGATGGATTACACATTTTATTGCAGAAGAACTGTTTTAAGGCTTTGACATGTAATATTTATTACATGCTGAAACTTTTTCTCCACTGCATCTGGAGCGGAGAGCTAAAAATTAAGAATTAACTGAATCTGGTCAGGTACAAGGTGTTTTGTGTAAACAACCTACTATCATTCAGAACTCACTATTAAGTTAAAGGAGCACAATGGGGCACCTGGGTGGCTCAGTCGGGTAAGTGTCCAACTTCGGCTCAGGTCACAGTCTCACAGTTCACGAGTTTGAGCCCCACTTCGGGCTCTGTGCTGACAGCTCAGACCTTGGAGCCTGCTTCGGATTCTGTCTCCCTCGCTCTGCCCCTCCCCCACTCATGCTCGCTCGCTCTCAAAAATAAACATTTTAAAAACTTAAAAAAAAAAATGGAGTACTGAAAAGCTGATCCTCATCCCCCATCTGCAAATTCCTCAGAAAATCTGTTACTGGGTTCATTATGGTTTTTCATCACAAACACGTTTTTTCATCGGGTAACTAAAACTTTAAACAGAAGTACAGAATACTTAAAAAGAAAAGTATTTGAGGGTTTCTAAATTTTCATTCAATCTAAGGAGAGAAACCGGTAACAATTATTCTGCACAGCAGCATGTGTTAATTTTTCATTGACAAGAGGGCCCTCCCTTCAATGGTTCAAATATGATTGTATCAATATAGAAGGTTCTTTTTTTGATGCATATCCCCACTTCTCTAAATTTAAGAGTTATAAGTAAGGGGCACCTGGGTGGCTCAGTTGGTGAAGCATCCAACTTCGGCTCAGGTTGGGATCTCACTATTCATGAGTTCAAGCCCCTCATCGGGCTCTGTGCTGATGGCTCAGAGCCTGAAGCCTGCTTCAAATTCTGTGTCTCCCTTTTTCTCTGCCCCTGCCCCACCTGTGCTCTGTTTCTCTCTCAAAAGTAAACATTAAAAAAAAAAAAAGAGCTGTAAATAATTCTTGTGGATTCCAAACAGGACAAAAACACATTATCTCATTGTTGAGGAATTTTGAAAGGTAAGTTTTACCTGTATCCATACTTTGGTTCAACTGTTGATCACTCGTTTCTCCATCCTCACTGATATATCCAGGAGGTGGCGTTTCTACAAAAGTTCAGAACAAATCAAGCACAGTTGCAATTTCATCTCACCACCTTTGTCCTACTACCAAAGATAACTAAAGAATCACTCTGAATATTATATAACATTATTATAAAAAGCAATATTTGGGACTAAGGGCTTAAAATTCAGGTTTTGATCCAAATCTTATAGGTGAATCCTTAAAGCCTACTTGTAATATGATCAAGCTCTCTAGGCATATTTTCTTAGCTATTATTTACATATCTGGCTCATTCCCATATGTATATTTTCTGGGGCAAGAGCCAAAAATAGAACTTCAAAGATGCCTCAGTACTGAATCAGTATGCTTCAAAGACATTAGTACCTACAATTTTTTTTTTTTTTTTAAACTAATGGCCATCATCGATGGGTTACACCTAAGAAGTGATTAAAGGACACACCACACGTATGAAATTTCAGATTACAAAGTACTACGGGCTCACATTAGGTTCTATGGGTAAAATAGGGTAATATGGTTCAGGCCTGGTCTCGCTTGAGTTTCACCTACAAAGTATACTTCTCCAGGGATTTCTAACCAGTAAATCCTGAGTGTTTGAAGCAGAAATTTAAATCCAAACAGACTACTGCACAAACCTGAGGTAAAATACTCCCTGAAGGTAAGAAAAGTAAGATTCTAATGTGCCATTTCCAAGATGCTTTATGAACAAGATGTTTACATTCAGGAGGCATCTGAATAGCTGAATAGGCTTCGTGTAAGATAAATACATTTCTATAATTTTACCAACTATAATTTCAAGGAGGAAAACTAAGTTTAAGGGATTATCAACAGTTTAACATTTAGATGGCTGGATAGTTTCAAGCAATTCAAGATAATGTAATTATCAAAAGGGAGAGGGAGAAAATGTGGGTTAAAGGGCTTCTTTGTTTAACCCTTTACACTCTCCCTTCAACACGCTAACTGCAAATCTGAAGTTTCAAACTCTTCATTAAGTGTCAATACCTTAAAAGTGTTACTGATGAAATTCTCAGAATAAAATACCTTCAAATGCTCAAGCAATAAAGAACACAAAAATAAGACTAATGCACATCAATATGCACTACCTTAAAGGTTAAAGCTAATAAAATTAAACAGAGCTACGCTTTGCCAGTTTAACCATCCATGTCTCAAAGGTCTAAACAGGAAGAAATACAGAACTTTTAAATACTTTATCCTGTTTTGCTTTTCTCCATTATTATGTATAAAATAATAAATAATAAAGCTATTATCATTTTGGAGAAAATACTAAAATTTCCTTTGAAGTGGAACAAAAAGTGAACCCTTAACTTTCACTGTCAGCTGGAGCTGGGTAAAGCCCCATTGTTCAGAAAGGCAAATAGGTGTGATCCACTTTTGATTTGCTACTTTGTAAAATAAACCAAATCTAAACAAAGAAAGAAAGGAAAATAAACCCAAGCATCTCCACAAGGAAAAACCACTAAGCGTTTTGATTAACAGCCTTCCAAATAATTACCGGGTAGGTGTCTTACAAGACTGTATGCTTACGTCTCGGTTTCCTAGTATTGTTGAATAATACAAATTCCCACATCAAAGACTTAAAATGTGCCCCCCACACCACACACAACCATGTCCGGCCAAGTCTTCCCTGGCGAGTGACCTGTTTCAGTCCTGCCCTCCCCTGCTGGTCCTCGCATTCCACCAGGCTCTAGGCCCTGCCCTCTTAACTTCTCAAAAAGTGTGTTTCCTAGCAACCTAAAAAGCAGTCTTAAGCCCTCTTTTGGAACAAAATAATTGTAAAAAAAAAAAATTACGCACATTAAAACAATCAGGAAACACTTTCTACCTTAAATTTAGCTATTTTTAAAAATCCTTTTTATGTCTTTAAATTGTCAACGAACAAGCATTTCTTCCATGAGACATATTAAAGAGATCTTTTTTTAAATGTACTGGAAACTAACTTCCTTATGTATTTTCTGTTGTATACTGAAAATAAGAGTGGAATGGAGACGCTGTTACAAGAGGAGAAGAAAAATGAGACACTAAAATATCCAACGGATAGCTTCATCCCCATTTGAATATGGTACCTTTAATTTCTGCTGGGGGGGGGAACCCCAAAAAACAAAAAAGGGAAACACAAAGTAAGAAAGTAAGAAAATATTAGTTGTTCTCCTAAAAGAACAGTGAAAACTAAAAGTGCGTTGTGGTGTATTACTAGGTCACGTACTACAATAATCTGAGCAGGATTTGAGAACCATGTAGTTAAATTCATTCACTTCCCAGCAGAGGTGACTGGGGCCCAGATGAAAAAGAACCGAATTAGAGGATTTATGATTTTCAGTACAGCAGTGTTGCTACATCTGTAGGAACTCAAAATATTTTATCTTCTATAGGCATAGTACATTTCTCTTTAACATTATCGAGCTATCTATGAAAATGATTATTTGGGTGGTTTTTAGTTACACTTGCTTCAAGAATACCTTTTTCCTGAACAAGTTATTTTGCTTACATTCTGCATCTCTCTTAGCTTCAACAACTAAGACAAACTTACTAAGATCTTTTCTTTTCTGCTTCTCACAGTACTTTGATTAAAGCCACTGCAAAAGAAAATGAAATATAAAGTAAAACTTTTCTCCAGACAAAAGTATTTAAAGTACGAGGCTTATACATTTCACAAAATAATCAACCAACAAAGCAGATTTTCCTATTCAAAATCCAGAAGCATTTTTTTTTAAGTCAAATCACAATTTACTAGTATGTGAATGTTTATGAACAAAATCTGTTTATCCCAATTTTCAGGAGATTCAGAAGGTGAAAATACCTGGGATGTAATTACTCTGTGGCTCAATTCCCGCTGGGAAATTAGTGTTTTCTGGAATGGAGTGGGTGTAATCATCCAGGGGAGGCAGTTCAGTCAGGATCTCGGTGTGCCGTGGCACCAATACCGGAGGCAAAACTGAAAGAGTAAAAGGAACCCAGGTTAATGGCAAAGAGCACAGGATGGGCACCAGGGAAGGGGGACAGACCAGACCTTTATTAAAAAAATTCACACACACAAAAAAGTAGCCTGCTTCATTTTTAAAATTTAGGGTCCATCCATTTGGCCTTATATCAGTTCCTAAGAAATTGACAAATCTGATTGGTCTTAATTTGCCATGGAGTCCAGAATCTAAATTTCCAAGTTTCAATTTATCCTGTACCTTGAGGAACAAGGACATTCTGGTAATACTATAATGTTACCGTAAGAGTTCATATATCCCCACTGGAAAAGTTGCAGGAAGATCTGTGAAGTCGGATTTAGGCCATTTCTAGAAACATAGCTGTACTGAAATTGAAAATTTAAAAACTTTCAAGTATGCAGCTAACTAAGTAAACTAAAAGTCTTGCTGTGGATTTCACAATCTGCTTAGATACAGATGATACCATTAAAGTGCTTCAAAGAAAATACTAAAGAATAAAATGACTGAAAACAGCTCAGGCAGCAGACAGGTACAGAGGTGTATCAGTTTAGTTCCAACCAGACTGTGAATCCGGAGATTAGAACTTCCTGAATAGGGGCTCCTGGGTGGCTCAGTCGGTTAAGCATCAGACTTCAGCTCAGGTCTTGATCTCACAGTTCGTGGGTTCGAGGCCTGCGTCAGGCTCTGTGCTGACAGCTCAGAGCCTGGAGCCTGCTTCAGATTCTGTGTCTCCCTCTCTCTCTCTGCCCCTCCCTCCCTCATAATCCCATGCACGCGCACTCTCTCTCTCTCAAAAAAA